AGACAGTAGACCTGAATTATTTTAAAAAGTAGACACTAGAGCTGAATTATAAAATGTTTTAGGCAATAAAATATCTTCCAACAGTGTTGCAAACTGTTGTTTGTTGCAAACAGTATGTTCCACACAAGGGAGAGGAAAAAGTTTTAATACTCACTCAAAAGAAAATCATTCTAGTCACAGTAATAAACTAATGTAATAAAACGTCCAGAAAATGGCTGAGTAATATTCCATGGTGTATATGTACCACAGCTTCCTCATCCATTCGTCTGCTGATGGGCATCTAGGTTGCTTCCATGTCCTGGCTATTATAAACAGTGCTGCGATGAACATTGGGGTGCACGTGTCTCTTTCAGATCTGGCTTCCTCGGTGTGTATGCCCAGAAGTGGGATTGCTGGGTCATATGGCAGTTCTATTTCCAGCTTTTTAAGAAATCTCCACACTGTTTTCCATAGTGGCTGTACTAATTTGTATTCCCACCAACAGTGTAAGAGGGTTCCCTTTTCTCCACACCCTCTCCAGCATTTATTGCTTGTAGACTTTTGGATAGCAGCCATCCTGACTGGTGTGTAATGGTACTTCATTGTGGTTTTGAACATAGTTCTATATCTAATTAAGACTGTAAAATTAAAAGGGAATTTTTAAAAATCTGCAAAAATGAAATTTAAGCAGCCCCAATGACTGTAACTTTTCTGTTTATTTTGTTTTACTTTTTCCACAGTTTGAAAGTAACTGAAAACTAAGCATGAATTTCACTTTAAAATATAGTTTTCAAATTCAACAGAATACTTCATGTTCCAAGTACAATAAGATTTTGTACGTTTCAAGATTAAAAAGTTTGTACTCATTTGTTAATACTTTGTTTCACTGATTCAGTGGTAAATATAAGTACATTGTGTGCGTTTCCCTTGACAATGTTAGTTGCATCACTGTGTTTCGAATAAATACCTTGAACGAGGAGTGTGCAATAGTACAGTCCCTCAGGGACTGCAGGCTATGCAGCAAGTGGTCTCAAGGCCTTCCCCATTAATGATGATCTGTAGAATGGACCAGGGGTAAGCATGGCAGCTTGTGATGGCAACAACTGTTTAACAGCGTCTTCTCTTAATTACCTCCCTTATAGGAGACAAAGACATTTTAAAGATAAATACTAAAACATTTGTCACACACACACACACACATATATAAACATATATACACATATGTGCGTGTATTTATTTATATGTATATATATACAAAAATTTTGTTCCTAGTGAATAATAAATAAAATATTAAAATCTGACATAAATGACAACACACTGTTAAAGACTAAGACAACAAAATTTGAATTTGAAGAGGAAACATAATTACTGATATTATTTTAGAATACTAGAGTATGGAGATGTTAATACAAACAGAAACAGGTTTTACTTGGTTTTATTCTTGTAAGAAAACTCCTTCTGTGCAATGCCCCCACAACCCACCCCAGCATTGCCTGCACTGGATGTGAGCTACTCCCCCGATCCATCTGTGGATGGCCACTGCTCCATTCTAAACTCTTTAGTTTAAAAGGGCCTAACCAAGAATGCTTTTGTGACTTCCGAAAACCGCCATTACTTTCCCTCCTTTCTTCCCTCCTACCTCCCCTTTTCTGTCCTGTTCTTTCTTATTATACAACTGATACAATTTGCTGTCCAATTAGAGTTATTACAAAATACTGGCAACATTCCCCATTTGTAAACTACATCCTTGAACTCAGCGTACATGTAAGTTTGTGCCTTACACTCCACCACCCCTGTATTTCTCCTTCCTCTCCCCCCATTCACTGTTAAATAGTCGATGTTCTATATATCTGTGAGACTGTATTTTCATTATATTCTCCACTTTGTAGGGTTTTAAGACTTTGCAAGTGATACCGTACAGTACTTGTCTTTCTTATTTTATTTAGTGTTATACTTTTCATGTTGCTGCAATTGGTATTAATTTAATTCTTTTTATGGCTGAGTAGCATTCCATAGGTCTTCCTTGGTGGCTCAGTGGGAAAGAATCTGCCTCTCAAGGAGGATATGAGGGCTCAAAACCTAGGTAATGAAGATCCCTTGGAAAAGAAAATGGCAACCCACTGGGCTATTCTTGCCTGGAAAATTCCATGAACAGGGGAGGCGGGAGAGGGTAGAGTCCATAGGGTCCCCAAGAGTGGGAAATGCCTTAGTGACTGAAGAAAAACCCGTGTTCCTTTCTACACATACACCACATCTTTATTCATTTATCTGTCTCTCATCTGATGGATATTTAGGTTAATTACACGCTGGTGAATGGTGTGCTTCAGGGAGCTTTGGGACACATGTGCCTTTTTGATTAAATATGTACATATCCAATATATATATCCAATAATAAAAGTGTTAGGTCATGTGTTGCTCCGTCTTAGCTTTTTGAGAAATCGCTATAAAAGTGTGCACATTGCTTCTTGACTATGGAGTATCTTTCAGTAAGCAAGTTTGAGTTTTTAATGCTGTCAGTTGCTGACATCATATCTTGAGGTATAATAATCACTACTATGAGGTAGATGCCCTAGGGGCAACTACTTTGTTGCTTTTTAGCAAATGGCATTGCTGCCCCCACCCCATGACACAGCACTCCAGCTACCTTCCCAACCCTGCACTCACATACAGAAAAACCACATCCTCTTCCTCTTCTCCCATGAGAAGTGTATCTTAGTGCTTCAGTCTGGACACAGTTCTGCCCCATACTTTCTAGCTCCCTGGACCTACTAGTCCCCTCTCCAACTGCACAGGAACCATCTCCCTCTCTCTTCACAAACTTATCCTTTCTCTGTCCTTTCTGCCCAAATCAGAAAGCTCAGAGACACAGATAATTGCACATCAGCTTGATATTATTGAAATGTCGTTATTAATGTATGCTGTTGGTAGAAGATTCAATGTCGTTCCTGTTGGACACTTTTCCGCAGTGAGACCCCCAAAGAATTCTGAGTTCTCTAACCAGGTTCTGAAGTCACTGGCTATGCATTTGTCCAGCAGGAATGGCAGGGGTCTCCAGGATCTCTGGGGCCTCTTCCAGTTTGTAGTGATTTAGCTCTTCATTCACCATGGAATGCTGGCTACAGAGCTTTGAGCCTCTGATTTTCTTAAGAGTCTCTGAGGTGGGAGCTTTTTGACAAGCTTTCTTGGTCAGCTTTGACTGAATGTGCTTGTTTATATTTACCCTCACACTTACCCTGGTGCCCTGGAGAAAACAAGAGAAGGAGAAAAGAATGACTTTGGTTTGGGGAAGAGGGTAGTTATGGTTGGAACTGATGACTTCAGCAGAAGGAGTGTGACCAAGAGGGGGCATGTGCAATACAAGGAAATGGGAGTGCGTCTATGGGGCGGTGTCAACGGGAAAGTTGAGCGTGGGTGAGTTCACTCACTTTGACACTCCTTTTGGACCTCACTTGATAGGAGTTCTTCATCTTTTCATCCTGGATAAGGAGTTGGCTGTTTCCTGATTGTGCTAGAGACTTTTGGCTTCCCAGTCACCTAAGTCATTTAGTGTTGTGTGTGTTTGTGTGTGTGTTAAGAAATATGTTTTATTTAACCAGTTTTCACAGCTGAATAATTATTCTATAAAAACTTTACATATTGTATAGTTTATATACAGTTCAAACTATGGAAAAATAAATAGTAGGTCCCACAGATGGAAAAATACTGCACCAACCAATCCAAGTAAAGGCATATTTTCACTCTGCAAGTTCTCAGCAAGCTGCGAGGTGGTCGGTTCTCAGAAACTTAAAAACTGTCCAAGTGAGACATTTTTATTTTATCAATCACAGAGTGATTTTATTTCACTCTCCATACATTCCACATGATTGCAAGGTCAGAAACATACCAGGGGACAGGCTTCTGGAATTGTCCCCACCCCAGCAGGAATGTGCACATCTATTGACACAGGGCACTCTCAGACAGCATCCTGTACTTGGTATATTGTGTAGACATGAAAGCAGAGACCAAGAACACGAAATGTCAATATAATATGGTAGTTATCTTAAAAAGGAGTTTCTGCATTTGATAGTGTGCCAAAAGAATTTTAAGTTATTAAATAAAATATGTTCTAAGTGAACCTAAAAGTTACACTTTAGAAGCATAAAAATACTTTTTATTTTTGGTGTAATACATTGATCATATCTGCAAAGAGAAAACCAAAACTCTATATAAAGTAGCAGTTCTCACCCAACATCAAAAAGCACTCATGTAGTTATTTTTCAAAAGGGTCAGAAAAACTAATTATAAACCTGCAAAGTTTAACTGATAACTTCAGATACCATACGGAAGCTAGTCAGTGATTCACTAATATTGCAAAACAAGCTTTCCCCTAGAGAGAGTGGTTTCTTCCTGTTAACTGGGAAAGAATCAAACATTTAGAAAGAGGGAACAGTCAACTGATATCTCAGTTTGGATCCCAGGTGTATTTTACTTTGGGGGTATGTCCACTAGTGGGCGTTTAACCAGAAGTACTCATCCTAAAAGATAAGTCTTCCATTTGATTTAGAATTTTTGATCGCTGAGACTTTGAGCCTCTTAGAGATAAGGGCACATCTCACATCTTTCCATATTTTGATTTGGGGCTGGGATATCGAGGCTGGCTAACACCTCTTTCTTTGTTTCCAGAAGGAAAAAACAAGGGAAATCAAACCTCCTTTCAGAATTTGCTGGCACCCGAACCAAGAAGACACACCTTTTTTTTTTAGACAGTACTAGCTGAAGATACAAAAATTAGAACCTGAAAGAGCAGCCCAGAGTTCACCATTATACTTTTACAATTGTGTGTGTATTAAGCATAAAATAATGACATTTGGAAAGAGGAGTTTTGCAGTTATTTATTTTGAAGTTACAGGACTTCAAAACTCCTTGACAATAAATAGCTTGGCTGTCTCAAGTACTGCTTCTTAGTGGGAGCTGCGGGCCAGCCTGGCCAGGGCTGTGAGGTCCAGTGCGGTGCAGCCCGGTTGGGTCGGGTGGCCCGGCCATCACAACTCATCGATCTTCCTCTGCAGGTACTTGAGCATGGAATCCATGCCCTGCGCGAGCCCCAGATCTTCTTCAGCACCTCGCACTCCCTCTCGTTGGCCTGCTCCAGCTCCAACCTCATGTTGCAGCGCCCAAGGGTCTTGGATTCCTCCAGCACGACGGGGTTGCAAGAGTCGAGCTCCTTGATGCAGTCCATGACGTCTTGGGTGAAAGTCCCAGGCCAGAACACCCGGGAGACCAGCCCTTTGACGCACGCCTCCTGTGCCGTTAGCTTCCGCCCGCAGAGCAGCATTTCGTTGGCAGATGCTCCTCCCATAACCTTGGGGAACATGACCGTGGAACAGCCATCTGGACTCTGTCCGAAGGTGGTATAGGGCGTCTGGAACCACGCCTTTTCGTTGGCCCAGACCAGGTCACAAAGAGGCAGGATGGATGCTCCTAGCCCAATGGCCGGGCCATTCACAGCTACGATAATAGGCTTCGTGAACTGGATGAAGGTGTTCCCGAAGCTTCTGATGGCCTCAGCCATCCTGGCACTCTCCCTCTTGCGGTCGTCTGTCAGGCGCCGGATGAAGTAAACTAAGTCCAGGCCGCAGCAGAAGACGCTGCCCACGGCGCAGAGAAGCACCAGCTTGCTGCCGTCGGCCCCGGCCATGCTCAGCGCACTCTGCAGCTTCTTCATGACCTCCGGGTTCAGCGAATTGTTCTCAGAGGACTTGGTGGACAGCAGGATGTGGGTGAAGCCATCCTGCTTCCGGACCATGATGTCCCGGTACCTGGAGGTGCTCTCCGTCTGCCACACGTGCAAGCGCAGCAGCTTGTCAAAGGGCTGGTCTCGCCTGTCCTCGATGAACTTCCTCTTCCCGGCCGTTATGCCAGTGGCTGACGTTTGCAGGGAGGTCATCATGTTAGCCATCAAGGCACCCAGGAACGGGGAGATGCCTTTCCCGTTCACGGCCAGCCCCGTGGTCATGGCGACAATGCGGGGCCAACACCAGCTGCACCAGCGAGTGCATCCACAGGCAGCTCCCCATCCAGGCCCGCACCACCACCTGGCCCAGAAGGCCCCTACCTGGCTTCTCGGCCACAACCTCCCTGGCCGCTGTGTCCTCCAGTCCCTGCTCCACGGGGTCCAGCTTCTCGGGGCTCTCGTCCTGAAAGCTGTGCACCCCGGTGCTGCCCTGGATGGGGCTCTTGGGCACGAGGATCCTGATGTCAGACTTGGCCAGGTCCATGTTCTTGCAGGTGGCCATGCCCGGCATGGGGCTCTTCCTGAACTTCTGTCTGGCAGTAACCAGCATGCTGCTCTTGGCCTCCTGCTCCTTGCCCACCACTAGGGCCTTGGAGGCAGCCTTGGAGAAGCTGCTGATGGTGGATCTGGAGATCCGCTTCTGGCCATTGTTTGCGGAGGTCTGGTTGGCTCTGGAGAAGGTGCCCTCCTTCTGCTTCTCACTGTGGCACTGGTTGAAGTCGTGGATACACTCCTCACGGTTCACCAGGTGCTCCTCTGGCTCCCAGGTGGCATCCTCCCTGCCATAGCCTTTCCACTGAACCAAATACTCTGTCTTCCCTTTGTTGCTTTTCCTCTTATCAAGGATCCTTTCAACCTCATACAGATCCTCAGAGGCCATGGTGCATGGCGAGGGACAGGGTCACCCAGGCCACCTTATTCATTTTGAAGACTCCCAGGGGTCTGCTCCAGAGCCACTGAGCATGCCTATACATAGGGGACCACACCCTTATGATTATGACGTCAGTCACTTCCCCAGCCAATGGCAGCCCTCCACGAGCCTTGGTGTCACAAAGCCTCATCCTGAAAACTCTGAGGCTGGATAGGGAGCAGATCAGATGATTTGGTGGGAGAAATGAGGCATTCTTTATGATCCTAAAGAGCCCGCCAACCTCACCTGCCATCCTCATCTCTCTGAGTCAACACAGATTGGTCACATGGCAAGGAGAATGTGTCTCCTCCAAACCGAGCCTCACAGCCAGTTTTCAGCCTTTTATTCAATTCTCTCTCACGTTACATTATTATCAACTTTTAGTCATCTTGCCTCAAATCCCTCCATGATAACTAGGCTGTGGAAATGAGAATGATTTCACTTTTGTCCTACAACTGGACTTAATGAACCTTGAAAGCCATTCAATTCTGGGCCACTTATGAGAAACCTTTTCCATCCCACATCCTTTTCTCAGTCTTCATATAGCTCTCCTCAGTTTTCTAGTCTCCAGTCTGAAACCCCTGTCCTCAAGCTGTGAGAATGCACTGAATACATCCACTTGCTCTTGCTCCACTTGGCACTGTCTTGTTTCAACTCGAGGACTAATGGTCACCTCCCTAGGTGTAATAGCCAGGCTTCCTTTTAACATAGTGTTGTGGATGAGGCAGATAAATGCATGCTCTGTGTTGTGCTGGATGACCCAAGAAGGAAATGACCACCTGTGGCTGATTAGCATTCCCAGGAAGGAAGGGGTGGGGCTTGCCCAGTGATGTGTGAGCCTCATGTGCAAAGGTCTTCTCAACATGCACCCTCACAAATTTCTCATCCTGTGTTCCTGCCAGAACCTCCTTTGTGTTTTACCTCACAATTAAGACCATGGTGGAATTCATTTCATGAATAGCTACCACAAGCTTCCAGCTTCTTGGAGGAAACACTGAGTAAATCATGCCTACCCATCTAACTCCTAAGTTCTCTCTTTGAGGTTGTTGGCTCTGGAGGATAGGGGGATGAGTTGTGTGCTTCACCACAGTCCCTGTGTTCCTAATTGACTAGCAGGTTCAGCCAACCTGAGATGTACCCCTGGGAGACAGTCTTTATTGACTTTGTGGTATTTCCACTGGTTTCCATGAAGTGCTGTCTTCCTGGTGTCCTCTGGTTGCTTACTCACCTAGGACACACATGAATGTTCATAGCAGTCTTATTTCTAATAGTCAAAATTTGAGAAACGGAGATGGTGGAGGTTGAGGTGTACAGGGAGTACATCTCTGTCCAAGTATCCATCAGGAACACACCTTCAGACACAAGTGCTTGAAGAACCTCAGCTGAGAGCAGACATGACTACATGAACAGAGGAAATAATATATGGAACCACAAAAAATCAATACAATGAAGGAACTAGGGGGTAAACATGAGTGTTAGTAGGACTGGACCTGCCCTCAGGGGGTGGGAGACCTGAAGTAGGTGTCCGATCTCCACTTGGGAGCAACTGTCTGGATCAGAGGAGAAACACTTCAGGCTGAGAGTCAAACAGTTGATCTGTGGCAGCCTAAATGGAATGAGAATGAGACAGTCCTTTCCACAGCCATTCACACCCCAGAGAGGGACACAGGTCCTTTAGAAGGTGCAACAGGTTCATAGAGATTGTGGAGAAATCCCTGCCCATGGTCTGCTGTCTACTGGTTAGAGACAAATTGATGGAGTGTTCAGATGAAGAGATTGTGTGGGAAAAGCTTGTGGAGGTAAGCCAGGCAGCCATGGAAGGAAGGTGACACCGCTGAGTCATGTATAGGGGATGGAGCCATCACCCTAGCCTCTCGCTCCCCACATGCCTTCATCAAAACTGAATAATAGAGAGGCTGGTTCATCAAGGACTTGAATCACTGAACTACTGAGTAAGACTCCACCAAGGGTGCTCCTTTAAATGACTGATGCTTCAAAATGCATCAAAGGACCCCAGCCTGAGAGGCCATCCTCTATTTGCCTGGCACTCTCAATGACAGAGAAGGACCCCAGACCAGAGAACTCTCGAAGTGCCTGAATGCATGGAAATATGAGAAATACTAGCCAAAGAGGCCTTCTGATTGCCAGCGCTGATAGGATCAAAGAAATATTCTGATACGGCCATAATTCCTGCAGTGGAGGCAGTCCAAGTCCCTGGACCCTTGGCACTGTCAGGGTCTCTGCAAGCCAACCAGCTGTGTTGCCTTCATGCTCAACACTCACTCAGGCAGAGCTGCCACTGCTAAAGACTCTTGCATCTGTGCTCTCAGGGTCTCTTCAGTAGTGTCAGACACTTTTCTCCCTTGTAGACTGTGGCAGGGCTCTCTATCTGGGAGGGGGTTCTCCATGCGAGAATACTGGAGCGTGTTGGCCAACACTTATCACCGTACCCTTCTAGAGCACTATATTACGTGCTGTCCTAATCGCCAAAACCCTGAGTGGCTGGCGATGTCAGAATCCCTGTGACCCAAGCAGCCGCACCATCTGCACACCTGGCCCTCATATGGGCAAACCCAAAGCCTCCAGGGCCACCTCAGGAGCAAATCCCAGTGGACAAACCACATGCAGAGATGGAAATAAAACCACAGTTGTAACCCAGTGGCAGTGTAGGTAAGGAAGAAGACCCAGAACCTGCCAACCAGGTGTACAAACTGCAGATTAAATCCACACTATCAACTAGGAAGACTGTGTGTATGGAATATATAAAAGGTCATTGACAGCTCCTATAAACAAACAAACAAACGAACAACAACAACAAAAGAAAAAAATGGGCATATCTAAGTAGGCATTTTTTTCCCCAGAAGAAGTCATACATATGGCCAACAGACGCAGGAAAAGATGCTCAACACCACTAGCTCTTAGAGAAATGGAAGTCAAAACTACAACAAGGTACTATTTCACACCACTCAAAATAAGCCATCATCAAACAATAATTTGAAGACATTGTGGCGAAAAGGGAACCCTCTTGCACTGTCAGTGGGCATGAAAATTGGCACTACCATGATGGTGGACAATATTGAAGCTACTTAGTAAAACTGTAATCACCATATGACCTACCCTTAGGCATACGACCTACTTCATTCAGTTTTTCTTATTGTTGTTGCTATATATTCCATTAAATATTATCCATAGATGTAACTGACAAATGAAAACAGTTTAATTCTTCTTTCACAAACTGCATAACTTCTCTATCATTTTCTAAAATTTCATGGAGAAAAATTCAATATAATGAGACTGGACATCTTTTTGTTAATTCTGATCTTAGAAGTAAAATTCTCATTGTTTGTCCCTGAAGTGTCATGTTAACTATACTGTTAATTACCTTCATTAGGTTGAGGAAGTTTTCTGTTTCTAATTTGCTAAGAGTTTTCTTTTCATTTTTTCTTTTTTTTTTTTTTTTTTTTTTTTTCTATTTTTACAGAATGTGCTCAGTCATTCAGTTGTGCACAGCTGTTTGTAACTTCATGGAGAATAAGCCTAAGAGGCTCCTCTGGTCTTGGGGATTCTCCAGCCAAGACTACTTCAGTGGGATGCCATGCCCTTCTCCAGAGGATATTCCCAACATGGGAAAAGAAATTAGATTTCATGAAAGTATTTTTCACCATTTATTGAGATAAGCCTACTGTGTTCATTTTTAGTTGTTAGTAAGTTGAATTATGCTGTTTAAGTTTCAAATGGTTAATCAATGCTGGATTCTTCAGGGGACACAGATCAATAGATTATGCTGTGTCATACTTTGTATGTACTGGTGTAAGCTGTGCTTCATTCTGAACACTTTCTTTTTTTTTTTTTTTTTTCATTTATTTTTATTAGTTGGAGACTAATTACTTTACATCATTGCAGTGGTTTTTGTCATACATTGAGATGAATCAGCCATGGATTTACATGTATTGCCCATCCCAGTCCCCCCTCGCACCTCCCTCTCCACCCAATCCCTCTGGGTCTTCCCAGTGCACCAGGCCCGAGCACTTGTCTCATGCACCCAACCTGGGCTGGTGATCTGTTTCACCCTAGATAATATACGTGTTTCGATGATGTTCTCTTGAAACATCCCACCCTCGGCTTCTCCCAGAGTCCACAAGTCTGTTCTATACATCGGAGTCTCTTTTTCTGTTTTACATATAGGGTTATCGTTACCATCTTTCTAAATTCCATATATATGTGTTAGTATACTGTAATGGTCTTTATCTTTCTGGCTTACTTCACTCTGTATAATGGGCTCCAGTTTCATCCATCTCATTAGAACTGATTC